TGGGTGTCTTGTAGAAAGCATGTGGTTGAATGTTGTTTCTTGATCCATCCTACCCCTCTGTTTCTGTTAATTGGTGAATTGATACCATTTATACTAGTGCTTTTAACTGTTATACATTGGTTTATTGTTGACATGTTGTCTTTCTGCTGTTGTTTCTTTATCTTTCCATTCTATTTAGTTTTGTGCCTTACTTAGTGGCTTTTTCCTATGTGCATTTAGACAGCCTTTCAATATTCTTTGCAGAGTTGGCTTGGTGATCATGAAGTTCTTCAGCTGTTCTTTGTCATGGAAGTATCTTATTTCTCCATCAATTTTGAAGAACAGTTTTGCAGGGTACATCATTCTAGGTTGGAAATCATTTTCCTTTAGGTTATGAAATACTTCACCCTCTTCTTGATTTGATTGTTTTGGTTGAGAAGTTTGCTCTGATTCTGATAGGTTTTTCTTTATAGGTGATTTGTCTTTTGTCTCTAACAGCTCTTAATATTCTATTCTTATGTTGGATTTCTGGGATGATGATTTTTATGTTTGTGTGTAGTTTTATTTTGAAGGTGGCTATTTGGAGTTCTATATGCTTCACTAATCCTAATGTTAGTTTCTATTCTCATGTTTGGAATGTTTCTGTTATTACTTCTGTAAACAGCCTCTTGATATCATTTATGTTGTTCCTTCTTTTTCATTTATCCCTATCAATCTTATGTTGTTTTCTTGCATCATATTTCGGCTTTTGAATTTTTTTCTTGATTCCTTGTTATATTTAAAAGATCTTTCCTTTCCTGCTCATACGAGGTCTGAAATTCTATCTTCACTCTTGTTGAGGCAGTTTTGACAACTTTTGATTTCCTGTAAACTCTTTGAATCTGTGTCATGTATTCTGTTTGTTTCTTATATTGTTCATCCAGGATTCTATATTTTTTTTGCTCCTCTAATTTTTTAGCTGTGTCTTCTTTAGATGTGTTCAGCATCTATTTCACTACTTTTATCATTTCTTCTTTTACCTGGTTAGATTATTTCTCATTTGAATACCTTTAAAGCTTCCCAGAGTTGCTCCTTTATTTCACTTGCTATTATTTCAGGTGTATAACATATATTTTCTTCTTTGTACATGGCTCCTAGGTTTTCTTGTGATGGGCTGGAGGTTTCAGATTGCATTTTGGTCTTTCATTTTGACATTTTCCTATATTCCTGTGTTTTGGGTGATGTTCCATAGTTTTCCTTACATATGGTGGAAATTGTCTCTTTTTACCTTAGCTCTTGGGACTGAATGGAGGTTGCTGAGTGTGGTCCGGTCAGGCCAACAGGACCTCCTGTGCCACCTGTTCACCCACTCCCTGCTGTAAGCAACCAGCTGATCCTGAGAAATGTAGGCTACAATGATAGGAATTGACATAAAACACAATCTAATGCATGTAGGATTTAGTGTTGATTTGACTGCAAGTCTAAAGCTGGTACTCTGATCTATTCAGAGAATAACAATACACATCACATCTATGAAGGATCTCCTTCTAAAGGTGGTATCCATTGTTAATTCCCTAGAAGCTCGTTTTGAAGTCTTGTATTATCTTCATTCTTTTCTTGGATTGGGTTTTATTTTGCTTTGTCTTGTTTGATTTGATTATATTTGATGGCATGGGAAGCTATTTCAAAGACAACAAGATATATTATGGTAGCCATATTGGATTTACTATTATCTTGTTTTGAAGTCCTTTATTGTATTCATTGTTTTATTGCTATTGATTCTATTCTGTTTTGCTTGCTATATCTGAAAGAATGGGCAGGTACTTTGGAGACAACAAGAGGCATAATGGGAACAATTGTTGATTTCCTATTATCTTGCTTTGAAGCACTGTGTCACTTACACTGGCTTGCTTTCATTGGCTTTATTTTGCTTGGTGTTATTCATATAGGTATCTCTCTCTCTCTATATATATATATATAGATAGATAGATAGATAGATAGATAGATATCAACATATATATAAGCAAGTACTGGGCTTGCTCAGTTTGAAGAGCATAAAATCATAAAACACCATAAATACATGGAAACAGGAATGTTCCACAATTCTGGAAGAAATATTAATTAATAAACACACTATAAAAGTGACTATTGAACTTCCTCAGAGACCCCAAATCTAGAACCAACCTTATGTCGAAGTTTACCATTATATACAGTGCATCTCTGTAAAGAGGCAGTTCAGAGTTTACAGCCTCGGTCATCTGTGGATTTTTCCTTAGCATATAACTAGTAATTGTTCACAGAAACTCTCAAACTTCTGTGGAAACCACAAATACACTCCACAGTTATTTTTTTTCCTGGTGGGAGATCTGCAGGGAATCAATCCAAAGTGTAATTGAGTTCTTGCAGCTGATTGAGTGTTGCCCTGTAACCAGTCTCTGGCAGGTGAACAAGCATTCCTGTATCATCATAACAGGTTGTTGCACCTAGGTGTCATGAATGTACTTGCATTTTTTCTTAGTGGCCTAAGATTTCCATGTTGCCACCAAAAGGCATTGCACCTTAAGGCTTTTGCTAATAGAGAATTTATTGCATTACATTATATAACTGTGGGAGCATATTTAGGGCTTAAATAATAAAAATGGGTATTGATAGGCATTTTTATGGCCTATCTGAAATTTACATTTTTCTCACATTTTTGGGTGCTCTAAGAATGTAACTCCCATGAATTTCAAGAGTTCAGTGTATCCAAAGGACTTAAATTAGTTTATTAGTGACATATCTCTAGACATATAATTCACAAAAGGTAAGCTATGTAAGCAAACTCAGAATCAATTAGCCTGATGAAATGTTAATGAAAATGTGATATGTGTAAAAAATGAAATTCCACTGTGCCATAAGCAAGGTTAAATTTGAGTCAGTGTAATTGGACACACTTTGAGACCATCATGATAAGTGAAATAAATCATGAACAAAGCTTAAATATCTCATGGTTTCTTTTACATAAGAAGCCAAATTATAAAGTATCACTGAAATAAAAGATAATAATAAACAGATCATTTGCAAAAGGACAGATGGAGGAAGGGAAGAGAATAAAGAGGGAAAAAGATGAAAGCAGATGAAGAGGGAATTTACATGCATTATGTACATCTGTCAATTTCCTGTGACCGATGAAGCCCTTATGCACACTACTCAGGTACTAATACAAATAAATATTTAACCAGGAGAACACTGCAGAGAAATAACAAATCCAGGTAGATATACATGTCTGATAGTTTCTTGTAGGAGAGCTCCATATTTTTTGCTCTTTCCAGCCTGAAGGGATCATGAAAATCTAAAAACTTCTTCCATAACTTTACTGGTCTCTTTGGAGATATTTACAAGAAAGTTGTACTCTCTTTGTTAATGAGCAAAACAATGAAAATAGTTTTTCAAATGTCCTTAGCTCCCCAAGCTTCCATTGTCATTTTCAATACAGATGAAATGATAATTACAGTTCACAGAGGAGAGATCACAGACACATAAAGCTTTATCTCAGGGTCTAACTTCTTCTCTCACCTGCAGTTGTTGCTGTAATGAGCATCACAGTGAAATCGAGTTCTTGAAAAGTGGTATATCAGGTGAGAATCTTGTATTTCAGCCTGATTGGTAGAGTCAGTAAAGAAAGAATGTGTTCATCCTTATGTCAGCCTCAGATATTCTGGGATGGAAACAGGTAAAGAGCAAAGGTAGACAAGGAGAGAAACAGGTTTTTATTTTGTCAGCTAGAGATAGAAATGAGGATCTCAGAACCCAAACGACTTCCTGGTGTCTCTAGTGTAACTGAAACTGTACTGTGGATGCATATTTCTGAATTATCAATGTGAGAAGCAATAAGTTTTTATATGCTTAAGAATTGCTGTATTGAAACATATTGATTCTTCATATAATTTACAGTGAGTTAAATGATAAATCCATCGTCCTTGTTCATTTCTTCCTTCCTTACATTCTTTTCCTTCCTTTTTTCTTCTCTTGCCTTGCCTTGCCTTGCCTTGCCTTGTCTTTCTTTCTCTCTCTCTCTCTTTCTTTCTTTCTTTCTTTCTTTCTTTCTTTCTTTCTTTCTTTCTTTCTTTCCATCTTTCATTTTATTTTTCTTTTCTATATTATTTAAGTATTTTGAGACAAAGTCTCACAATATAGTTCAGGATGTCCTGGAATTCATTTTGTATCACAGGCTGACATCACAAACAAGTTCATGGTTTACTCACATTCTTATCAAATTTGTTATTTGCTGTGATTTTAATATTGGCATTTGGGATGACACATAATGACAACATGCAGATATTTCACTTGATTTTTTTCTGATGAATGAGGGTATAAAAACTTTGAAAATATCTTCCCTTTCTGAAACTTAACTTTAATTTACTTCCAATTTGTTATTCTATTGCATAATCTATAAGAATTTTTCATGATGAATGTTGTGTTTCTATGTCTGTCTTTTCCCCTCTGTTGTATATCCCTGTACTTCAGTTTGTCTTTTCCCATTGAACATAACTTTTTTGTATTTTAATGAAAATAGTTTTTAATTTTAACATACTCTAATTTGTCATTTCATCCAAATGTTTAATGTGCTTTGTTAGAAGTAATTTCTTAACAAATCAAAAGATGTTTACTACTATGGTTTACATTAATCTTAATATTGACACTAGAATACATTAAGAATCAATGATGAGTCCATATATATAGATATATATAGATATGTGATTTTGATCATAGTTGAGATTACTTTTTTCAGTAAAATGATAAGTTTGAGGACTTACCAAAAATGTTGCAATTTCATTCTTTCCATGTTGTCATTTATACCCACAGGTTAGCAACAAGTGCTGCTTAGTGATGGCTGAATCTATGAAATGTGCAGAAAATTCCACAAGAGCACAACACTAAGATAACTTTTAGTGTCAATTGTTACAATGAGCCTGATTCAAAGAAATTATTGTCATCACATTTTAAAGGAAATTTTAGAAAGAAATGACAAAATCCCTTCTAGGGATTTGGTGATAGGAATAATGTTTTTGTTACAGACTGTGGTTGGAATTCTTGGAAATTTTTCTCTTCTTTGCCATTATTTTTTCCTTCACCATATGGAAAGTAGAATGAAGCCCATAGATCTGATCCTCAAGCATATGTTTATAGCTAATTCTTTAATTATTCTTACAAAAGGACTTTCCCAGACGATGGTAGCCTTTGGGTTGAAACATTTATTCAATGAACTTAGTTGCAAGCTTAATTTGTTTGTGCTCAGAGTGGGCAGGGCTATGTCAATTTCTACCATGTGCTTCTTGAGTTTCTTCCAGAATATCACACTTAGCCCCATGAACTCCTTTTGGAAGAATCTTAAAATCAAAGCTGCCAAGTACATTGACTTCTCCATGTCTCTCTGCTGGTTGCTATACATGGGGGTAAATTGCATTTTCCCCCTGTATATGTTGCACCTATCAGGAAATTCAGAAAGCAGAAACATCACAAGAAAAAGACATCTGGGAATTTGTTCTGTGGTAGATTATGGAACAGCCATGGGCTCAGTCTATATTGCATTAGTAGTATTCCCAGAGGTTTCTTTTATTGTGCTCACATTACAGGCCAGTTGTTCAATTATTCTTGTCCTGTACAGACATAAAGAGCAGGTTAAGCATATTCATAGCTCTAAAGTTTCTTCCAGATCTCTTGAGTCAAGAGCCATGAAAAGCATCCTTCTCCTCATGAGCACCTTTGTATCATTTTACATCATCTCCTCCATATTTTCAATTTTTATGGCCATTTATATTAATCTCAGTTGGTGGTTGAAGAGTATTTCTGACTTAATTTCTGTGTGTTTCCCAATGATCAGCCCCTTTCTTGTCATGAGCCAGAATTCCTCTATATCCATGTTCCGGTTAGTCTGGATAAGAAACACAAATATACCTCTTATCGAAAATATATAATTGTATATTGCATCAGTACTTTTATATTGATTACTGCTCATTTCAATATGCCAGGCAATCTGAAAATGCAAGAGGAGACCACAAATCTTTTTTTAGAGGACTAATAGACATTTCAGCTGGTAGAATATGGGACTTTCATTGGAATAATGGATGTAAATAAAATAGGTTGGTCCTATTCTGTTACACAACGTCCTGTTCATATCAGCGTGAATAAAGTGTATTTTCAGGCAACCTAAATGGATTTATTACTTTGATTTTAATGCTTCTTATCTTTCTTTTTCTTCTTCACCTTCGTCTTTGTCTTTATCTTTTTCTTCATTCTCTTTCTTCCTTCTTATTTTGTACTTTTATTTCATTTTCTCCTAAATTTCATTTTTTGAGGTTTTTGAGACTGTTGGACAATCTCTAGTGACTAATCTTCCAGTGGAAGATAGCAATTATACTTGGATATATTGGCATCTCTGTCTACCAAAGCTGAAGTCTTCAGGATCCCGAGTAAGAATTTATTTCTTACTGAAATTATATATGATCTCAGGATAGTGAACACTAGAGACAATTAAGGAGACAAGGTGGAAATTTATCTTAACCCCCAGAAGAAGAGTCTCTACATCAGACTGATATGGAGCACAAAATTTTTGGGCATTATGTTGTTTTTGATTTCTCTAACAAAATGTCTGATGTTGAGTATTTTATGGAGGTAAGGGTTTTATTTATATCACAATTTTGTTTGCTCAAGGGAATACAACAAGATCAGCTCAGTACTTGTAAGAGGCCCCTGCTCTACCACATAATAGCTGATAGTATCATGGGATAATTGTATACAAGAGGAAGAGATTACAAATAGAAAAGCACAGTGAATGGATAAAGAGTATTTCCATCTCCTAATGTTTCTCACCTGAATTAATCAGGATTCCATAAAACCTCTTTTTAAATAACCAATGTGAGATCACTCCCATGCCCTGAAATCTCATACAAGTGACCCAACACACACATTTTCTAATAAACACATTTGGGATTAAGGTAGATTGACTGCTAGTGATCAACTTAACACAAGCGAACTGAATCAGTGTTGTGCCGAGTGGGTATGGAACACCTCAGGATTGTTGCCAACATAAAAGGGTCAACTATAGAGGAAGAATCAGGGTTTTTTTTCCTGAATGTTGTTGGTTCCTCTCTTGCCATGGGTTCTCCTGGAGGAGCTTGTCAAATTTGTTTTCTGATATGAACTTGGCTGTTATCATCAGAGAATCTCAAGACCTTATTGTCACTGAGAGAGGTTGTGGTTCACTTTGGGGAGTTTTGCTCATTACTTGGAGGACCACTTCCTCACTTTGGAGGGGAAGATGTGTGCTGTTGAATTTGCTAAATAAGTTTGTTGCACTGGCATCCTGATACTAACTTGACTGTTCTCATAGTTAGAGGAGTTTGAGATCTCCTTGTAACTGAGGATGGCTGTGGTGCTTTTTGGAGGAGTTCTGGTCCTTACTTTGAGCATAGCTTCCTGGATTCAGTTCAGATCCTAGAGATTACTGGCCCAGATCCTTCATCCATCTGGCACAGACTTCCTAGCTTCCATCACTGACCTTTGGGCCTTCCTATATCTGTGAAGCAGACTTGCATGAAACATTGTCATGGGCTCCATCTTTCTATTTGCACTGGTGGAGGACATTGGCATTGGCTCCAGATCTTCTGCTGAACTTAAGCAGGATGTTACCAACAGATGCAGGACCTCAGCAGGATTCTTTGGGTCTTAGTGTATGTATAGATTTCCTCAACTCTGTTTTTATACTTGACTCTTTGGATGACCATTAAAGTGGTTACTATAAATTATGCGTCCCATATTGCCTTGATTTGTTCACAAACCCATAACTACAACAGGAAGATAAATCTCATCCAAACCTGAATATCCTGGAGCATGACAATCTACATCTACTCCAAGGAGGGTAAGCCCTAAAGTGATAGTTTCCAATTGTGAAGCAAGGTATCTGACAAAGGGATATTAAAGTACTAAGTTAGTCAACCTTACTTTGTTTCCTGGTGTCAGAAGGTTTAGATCATGGTCACTTTGCTCCAACAGAGAATCATCATGGTAGAAGTTTAATAGCCAAAAGACATCACAGAATGGCAAACTGTAATAATGATAATCATTTCATTATAGCCAGGGAACAGAAGTTGAGAGATTCAGGGTGGAAGTTACCAGAAAGCAGGCATCCTTTCAAAGTCATGCCATCCAGTGACCTATTTCTTCCCACTGGGCTATGCTCCTAAAGCCCATCCTGCTGTGAATTCTTCAACATGTTGCCCATGGGCCACAATAGAAATGACTATGTAGGTGTCCTTAGATTATGTTGACTTTAATTGCTTTGTGTTTACTAGGAAATTCTCTAGATCAATAAAATACTAGGTCTATCTTTGAGGAAGCCCAGTATCAAATTCCACAGTGGATGCGTTGATATACAACCACTATGGCAGTATAGAAGGATCATTTTCCCCTGCATTCTCATAAGCTGTGTGGGTTAACTGTGGTTTCACCCTCAATAAGAAATGGTCAAATTTGAAGAGATATCCAAGAAACAAAAAATTATATTGAAAGCTAACAAAACTGTTTAAATGAAGCAGAGGATAGAATTTCAGACCTTGATAAGAGCATCACAGTTAGTGATCATGAAAAGATAGAATCTTTAAAAATAAGAAAGCAGCCCTCCTGTGACCCCCACCCGCAGTCCACCTTGTGAGATCCAGGAACTCCAGCCAGTGGTGCTTGCAGAGTCAGGCCACAACCAGGCCCCTTCCATGTTCCCACAGTCCTGACCACCCATCTCAGGACCTAAGCAATCTAGCCTGTGACACAAACCCCTTAAGTCCCATGACTGCCATCAGGGAACCCCTCCCACCACCTGAACCTATTCCTGGTGATCTTTGGCTTGCAAATCTCCCCTCAGAACCTTGGACTTCAGTGGAGTAACCATACAGTATTGAGGGGAGACACAGTAATCACTTGTCCAAACAGAAGAACTCAGAAGACTTCTATCAGTGAGGCGAGTTTACCCCAAAAATAGGAATAGTGTTTGTCACCTTCAGTGGGTAAACAAGAGCAATAGCAAAGCCCCCTCCAGAAGTAGGCCATTTGAGAGCTTGGCAAGTTGGTGGTTGAGTCCTTCCTCCAAACAGAAAATACCAGGTAGGTTGAGACGGATATCAAAAAGGCCTCCCCCAACGTGAAGAAAATTAAGGGGGCCTGTGGGATGCCACATTAGGGTCCCAGCCAAGACAAACACTATAAACACAGAGATCTGGTGACTTTGAACAACCTAAAGACATAATTTCAGCAAGAAACTAAGGGTTGATTTCCTTCAGTACTTGTAGTCTTGTGAGCCTAAGAAGAATATAGGACTCACCAAATGGCCCTGCATGAGAAATTCAGGTGACTGGCCCACCTATTCATTGTAGGACCAAGCAATTGGACAAACATCAACCTTACAGTAGGACCCCAAGATACACATTACCAACAGTTGTCACTAATGAGGCTGAAAAGTATGTCAGGTATATTAACCTGACAGGAGAAAATGGCAAAATGAAAAAGCAAAATGCAATCTCTGACATCTAGTCCATCAGGAGCAATTACAGGAAACAATGAAATAGAAAACTTCAAAAGTAGCACAACTGTAATCTCTGAAAAGATAACAAGTGAATTTAAAAAATACTACATGAGGCTGTAGGGGAAATAAAATTGTAAGTAATCTCTTATGTAAAGACAAAAATAACAACCTTAGCAAAGGAGTTGCTCAGCACAGCTAGAGATGAAATAGGTAAATAAAAAAAAAGTACAGGAGCATGGGAAACTGATTGGAACTTTGAATGAACAATATAGAAAACAAGCAAAATTCATAAAACAAACTCAATGAGACATCCAGGAAACAAAAAATTCCATTGAAAGCTGGCAAAACCATTTAAATGAACCTGAAGATACAATTTTTGACCTACAGGACAGGATTGCAATTAGCAATCGTTATAGACTAGAACTCTTAAAAATAACAAAGCAGCATTAAATGAAAATTCAGCAGCTTCAAAATGATGCCAAGAGCAACAATAGCAGACTAATAGGCATCAGTGAAGATGCATGAGTCAATGCAAATGACATAGCTAAACTACTCACAGGGGAATAGCAGAAAATTTCCCAAATAGGGGGAAAATCTGATATGTAGATAAATGAGACATATAGAATCCCAGACAATCACAACCAACATAATTCTACACCCAGACATATAATAATTATGATTCCAGAAATGCAGCATAAAAACAGAATACTAAAAGCTGTTAGAGGAAAGACACAACTCACCTATCAATGAAGGCCAATTTGAGTCATGACAGACTTTTCAACACAAATCCTCAGGTCAAGATGAGCTTGGAGTGAGGTATTTCAAGCCTTAAAATAAAACAACTTTCAACCCAAACTGTTATACCCAGCAAAACTTTCATTCAAATTTAGTGGAGAAAAAAGTTACTTTCATGATAAAAACAAGTGAAGAAATTCATTTCCACTAAGCCAACCCTAGAAAGAGTATTGAAAGACATACTAGATTGAGATAAAAAGGACCACAATGTCCAGAACAACAACACCATGAAGGACAAACAGTGAATCAAGCAGGAAAAAGCAGAAAGCAAACAACTGGAACATAACATGGCAAAGTTGAGCCAGTAAATATGTGATATTTGTAAATGTAAATGGCCTCAATTCACCTATCAAAAGAAATAAGTTGACAGAATGGGTCAAGAAACATGATGCCACAATATGCTGCATAGGAGAAACACATCTGACCCAAAAGGAAATGCTAGATTAAAAGTCAAATGATGGAGAATACTATTTCATGCAACAGGAATTCAGAAAAAGGCAGGGATAACTATTCTATTTGCAGATAATATGAACTTCAAACCTAAGATGATTAAAAGAGATAAAGAAGGTCACTACCCACTCATTAGTGGAAAAATTCAAGAGGAAG